CTTCTTCTTCTTCTTCTTCTTCTTCTTCTTCTTCTTCTTCTTCTTCTTCTTCTTCTTCTTCTTTTTCTTCTTCTTCTCCCTTCCTCCCTCCTTCCTCCCTTCCTTTCTTAGTTAAAAATTTCTATCATTAAGATGTTAGGAACCAAGATCCATTTTAATGTTATTTTAAATAAGATTTTCAAAGTGCTTTAAAGTTTCAGAAAAATGAGAAGTCATGTGGGAAGTCCTGCCTGGGATGAAGTTACTGAGTATCTCAATGTATTGAATGCTTTTTGCAGACTAATGAATATTGATACAATACAAGTCAATAGTTTACATTAGGGCTAATTGTGTATGTTGTACTGTTAATATGGAGTCTAAAAGTGTTCAATATACTTCACCCTTTCTCCAGTATCTTATTACAAAACTGATGTGTTTAACCGCACTAAAGTACTTTAGTTCAGACCCTCTCTAATACTGGCAGCTGCCAATATTTTTAATATTTCTGTGGTTTCTCTCATCAGGATGGTACATTTTTAAAAACAAATAGAAATTTTAGAATCAAGTTATGTTACTTAACAGTATTAAGTCTTTGAAGTCTCTTTTGTAACCTGACAGCTTATATCTCTTTATGGTTGTCTAGTACCCAGTATCACTGCTGGTTCAGGTGTTGGAGGCCGTCCTGGTTTTTGTTTCTACCTGTGGTAGTAGCCAGGTGGTTTCTGTTTGTTTCTTTGTTTTTGAATGCTAATATTTAACGGATGAGTATGTGTCTTAGCAATGGTTTACTTTGTAAAGTAAATGTGGAAAATGTTTTTTCACTATGTCAGTGTCACAGTGAATAAAAAATTAGAAGTTTGAAAAGCTAAAAGTTGATCCACAACCTTTTTTTTTTCTAGAATTGATAACTCAAGGGAAATTTTGAATGTATATTGAGGAGAGTGATACTGTATTTTTGATGTTAGTCAAAATTCTACTATTTGGTGAAATGGCCTGCCTTCAGCACTGCAAAGCAGTTTCCATGTGGAACGATCCGTTGATATTTAAATGACGTCGAATGATATTGTGCGCTTGTTTTAGCTGTTTCCCACCCTACTTCTTATGTTACCTCTTCTTGTCTAGCACTTACACATTTAGTGCCTAATTTATAAGACTATATTTTATTTGATGATGGAGCCATTAGTGTGCTTGGGCTGACATATAAAAATACTATATATTATGTGTTAAAAAGAGCAACTTATTCCTCACATTGAAGAGCTTGGGTTGTTCACACTCAAGGAGCATGACTGGTTTCTGCACAGGACTTTCTGGTTTGTCTATATGATCTCATAATATTCTGGTATGACATAGTACTCCGGTATCCCTTCCTTATTTTAAGGACACCAGATCCATTGGGTTACATGTATATAATTATGACTCCTATCACAATTACAATGATACTCGGGTTCTGTCTGAACATGACTATATTAAGCAGAAAAGATAGTTAAGGATATAAATACTTGTGTGTTTAGAAGCAACACAAACAACTGAACAAGACAATTCTTTCAAGTGGCCTAGGTGTTTTAGTGTAAGAGTTAATGTGTTTAATGTGCATGCTTGTGGGTTTTGCTTTCTTAGGAAATTGCAAGTTTACATGGTGGTTTGTGCAGCACCAGGAAAATGATTTTTTAAAAAGGGAGAGGGGGATACAACAGAAGTTCTGGAAGGCATATTACTGCCCATTGTCATTCTGTGAAGACACAATAAGGCTGTTATATCCAGAGCAATGTTTGTTCTCAGTGCTAACTGCTGATCCATAAACAGATTCTCTTTTACATTGTAGATTAGAAATATTTTTTTACTTGTTAGTAAAACTTCAAATCTGTATTTTCCCCTTCAATGTAAATCAGCTGGTATTTTTATTGATGACATAATTGTTTTTCTAAAACAAAGATTTATTTCAAGTATGTGCACAAAAAGTACTAATTGTGTCACATCACTTAAAATATGGTAACTCTGTGTTCTGAAATTTCTGCGTGCGTGTGTGTGTGTGTGTACGTGCATGTGTAGTGCATCTGTGTATGTGCGTGTATTTTAATTTAATCAAACCAAGTAGTATTTGTTTCTGACACATGATTTGAGAATTTCATTATTTTTATGTTATATTACTTTCAGTAAAAGTGAGCATAGCAGAAAACATACATATAATCTCTTACTTATTCTTATAGTTGTTTACATTAATAATTAATAAATTCGTCTAGGTTATAGATTGTTCTACCAATAGCTTCTGTTTGATTTCTGGGTTTGTTTAGCACTGGTTAAGACATAAAAGGTTAGCATGGGATTCCTTGGAAAATGAACAACTCCCCCATGCCTTTTATCTTTATGGTCCTTGGAAGTTCTTAATATAAATTCAGAGTAAATTACACTGTGTCCCATATAACAAAATGGATTGCAGATGCAATTTTTACTCCCATCATTAGGTTCAGAAGAAACTATGGGTCTCTGAGTAGACTAATTAAACTTTTATTTACAAATAACACTTAAGTTTGGCTAATATATCAATATTTTTGCTTTTTTTCTAGCACCTGTAAATCCTCATCTGAGTAAGTATATCATTTTAACTCAAAATTTATATTATATTACATAGTAAATAAAAGTGGATTATCTATAAATATGCAAAGATTAGGTAAAATCTATTCTTACTTGCTATAAAACAGTGATTTTAAAATAGCAAAAGTGGCGTTGTATATTAACTTCAAAGTTTAGAGGCTATGATAGAAAAACAAGTATTTTAATACTGATAACTGAAGTTCATACATTTATCTAAATGAGGAAATACAGAGTCACATCCTCAAACTGGTTCATTGTTCTGTAACTTAAGAGTTCATTTTACTTTTCTTGTGGGGATATCATTTTTGTTTTATTTTGTTATCACAGCTCTTTGATTTTATTATTGGATTTGTTGTCTTTTCTTCATAAAGACAAAGATTCCTTATTAAAGCCAAATATAAAAACAATTATTATTGCTAGTGAATGTATATATGTAATTGTGCGTATGGTATATGCAGTGAAAGATAACTGTGACACATTGGATTTGTAGTGGATGTCAGAGAAGAATCTTAAGAGTCAGTTTTTCACTGCTGCCATGAAATCCTGAGTTTTAATTCAGCTCACCATACAGATGACGTATATGATTTAATCCAAAGAGCTATCTTTCCAGCCCTTGATTATTTATTTAGTTTATATTTGAGTTTTTCCTCAGAAATATTATTTTAACTTAACACTGTACTTACTAAAGGCAAGGTTTCACTATGCAGTCTAGAGCAGACTGAATGCAAATTTGTCATTCTGTCTTCTTCATCTAAGTATAGGAATCTGAAACATCCACCAGCAGATCTGGCCATAAATCACTAAGTTTAAGTTACTTTAAGTTCTAAAGTATTTGATCTGGTTTTGATTTTGAATTCTGATTATTTTCATTAAATTTTATAAATGCATGATGATGAATAGCGTGCACATACCTGAAAATTAGTCCCACATGCAAAAATGCCTAATATTCATTACACAATAGAAGTAGCTTGAGAGAAGAAGGACTCATGCTTTCTCATGGTATAATGAAGATACCATCCATCATGGAAGGCAGGCATGGCTATGGGATCTGAAGTCAAGAGAGAGAGGTGAACGAATCCTGGTGCCTGTTTAGCTCTCCTCTTTTCCTTTTATTCAGTCGCTGATTCCAGCTCATGAGGTTGGACCACCCACATTCAGGATGGATTTTCCTTTTTAATGTAAACCTCCAATAGAATCCCTAAGGAATATACCCAGAGATGTGTCTCCTAGGTGATTCTAAATCTAGTCATGTTTGCAGTCAATGAAGATTAGCCTTTACACATCTCTGTCTCTGGCAAACCATATTAAGATAAGAAGAGTATTTACTGAGAAAGCTAATCTTAATATCAGTCCTTGAGAATACCTTATAGTTAATGTGAGGCTATATTTTTGCATGTTCAAAGGAAATACAAGAGAGTATAGGTTGATGCAAGAAGGTCATGGACTTCCAGACTTTTTATTCCTAATTTGCTAAATTGTTTCTTTACCGTATTGCAATAGATCTGAGGGTCGGAGGTAACAATAGAGTGCTGGAGATTATAGACTGTGGATTATTTAAAATTCTTTATCTCTATGCGTATTTGTATTAGTTCCATTTCTATTGTTATTAAGAGACAGTATAAACAAGGCAACTGATAAAAGAAAACAATTTGTGTTTCATTGTTCTAGAGGGTAGTAAAGTCTATGAATATCCCGGCAGGCAGCATGGTAGCAGGCAGGCATGACATGGCATAGCACTGGAGCTGTAGCTAAGAGTTGAAATATGATCCAGAAGCATGAGGTGTAGGAAGCATGGCATGCCAACTCGAATGACATGGGCATTTGAAATCTCAAAGTCCACCACACTGGCACACCTCCTCCAACAAGACCACATTTCCCAATCCTTCCCAATCAGATGCACCAACTGAGGTTCGAACATTCAGATATATTAAGGTTTGGGGACCATTCTCCTTCAAACCACAAGAGTTTTTAAATTTTAAAAAAAGTATTTTAATCAGAAAGCTATTAAAAATTGATGATGTAGTCAATAATCACTATTCTGTGTTTTAGAAATTCTAAGACTTCCTTTTTACATATTTGCAAGATATTCAATATCACATTGAATTATGCTAAGTTTATCTACCTCAGAGAATATGCATTATCTTTCAAATATTCTTTATCTGAATAAACTTTATCTGAATAATCTTTCTGCATATATATATATATATATATATATATATATATATATAACATATACATAATTATCTAATTTAATGTGATAGAATAATCATAAAATCATTTTATGCTGTTAAAACTCATTTTGCTTAATTTTCTAAAAACATTTCCCACCAGGTCTTTTTTATTTTATTTATTTTCTGTTTGTGGATATTTTGCCTGTATGTATGTCAGTGTTATTTGTGTTTGAAGTGTCCTCAGAAGCCAGAACACAATATTAGATGCCCAGGGACTGGAGTTTCATATTGTTATGAGTCACCACATACATAGATGCTGGGAATGGTGGGAGATCAGCCAGTGCTCTTAACCACTGAGACATCTCTTCAACCCACTGTAATTAATATTAAGAACATATAAGCACATTGAACAACTGAAAACAATTCAAAATATTTTCTCATACTTCAATGATGAATACTCAAAGTAAACACAAACACACAATTAGATAAATAAAAATCAAGGTTTTAAAAATTATTTTATGGAGAATATTGTCTTTTTCAAACATATCCATCTAGATAGACTATAAATATAAAGACATATTGCAACTATTTATTCTGACAGACAAAAGAAACTGTAACAAAAACATATTCCTTAAATGTAAAGAAGGATTCATTAAACTCAGTCATATGATCACAACCAAATGCTCCTACCTGAGGCTTCCTAATGGATGTTCCCTTTTGCAAACACAGGACAGACTTCAGTGGGAGAATCTGTAAATGTGCTTTTCTATGTGAACTTCAGCAAAGCCAGAGTCCATTTGTATTTTATTTTTAATAAGCAAAGCTGACAAAATCAAAGTTTTCTTATCTGTGAGACTCAGTGAAGATTATTGAGATTTTTGTAGAGTCCTTATTTTGCTGAATGGAAAAATGTGTATTACAGTGAATATTTTTTTCTTGTTTTACTGATGGAATTTACCAACTCATCCATGTATACACTTTTGAAGTAGGATACAGCCCAGTAAGAAAATCTTCTATTCTAGAAATTACAACCACCCACATTTAATGACAATTTTAAAAGTCTCTCTTTGAATTCATATTGTTTCTGATCTCAGCATATAGCAGGCATCGAAATCCCTAGTTCTTCCTCAAGGTCTTCATAAACTATAAAACGCACTTCAAGTGGATTTCACACCTCTGGCAAACCCACATTCAACTCAAGCATGAATGATGACTACTTCAAAAGCAATTTGCCCTAAAACCCTTGCCCTAAGCAAAGTTATACCTTTGCTTATAAAGAAGATCATTTCTAGAGGACAGAAAATAAAGAATTATAAGTACAAGGTATACGTGTTTGAAGTGGTATCAGGTGAATTCAAAAGTTTATTTTATTTTCTTTTTTGTTTTCTAAAGACAAGGTCTTATGTTTGGAAAAGTCTGTCTTGGAATTCACTGTGGGCTTTGAAGTCATGATGGTTAGCCAATTGCAGGTTCTGTGTTCCTGAGGTTATGGGCTTGCACCACCTCTCCTGTTATAGAAAGCTTATTTCCTAATGGACACTTTGGTCTCAACTGTTCCAATGCATTAAAAAAAAGTTAGGAAAATTCCCCATTCGTAAGTGAAACATGAATTCTTTTTATGTAATTGGAATTAAATCTGGTTGTTTTAAAACATAAGATGTGGGCCTTAATTGTGTAATAACAGACTGACTTAAAGTGAGATGTTACTCAAAAGCTGGGACAATAGGGAATATGAAAAGAGAAAATCAGAAAGGGGATGACGGATGGACAGGGAGTTAGATGATCAAAGGATATTGTGTGTACATGCAGAGATGCTTGAATGCAACAATTTACTTTGTTAAATTGAGATATGCCAATAAAACCATTACTCTTTTTCATCAAAATTATGCTTTTATGTTTAGTGATAACTGTGCCATTTAAGGCTCTGATGTCATTACTGCATGATTATTACATTGTAATAGTTGAAGTTATTTCTAATAAGATATTACAACATTTCTAATAAGACTATTTAATTAATACTTATTCCTTTAATTAAAATATGTTAACAGGAGAATTTCACTGTGGATTTGAAGATGGTAATATTTGTTTATTCACCCAAGATGATACAGATAATTTTGACTGGACTAAGCAAAGTACTGCAACAAGAAATACAAAATACACCCCTAACACGGGTCCCAATGCAGATCGGAGTGGTTCCAAAGAAGGTAGGAAAGTTTCCAGGACTGTGCTTTCAGAACCTGGAGAGCCGGAAGTGTCTTCAATTGAAGTATGAGTGGGCTGTGAGCTATGCATTTGAGAATTTTAGAACAAAACATTGTATCTTACACATATTATTGGCAATTCAGATATTTCCAAAGTTTGTTCTCTTTAATGTTTTCTCACTCCTCAGTGATAAACACAGTTGAGAGATCAGGATGGATTTTTATTTATTTCTGTGTTATTTCAACTCTAAAATTTCCATTTCTCTCAGTTCTTTCTCTCTTAATTTTTTTTCTGTTAAAGTTGTGATTGTGCGTAGCCATGCAGGTTTTATAAATGAAATATAAACCATCAGTTTTTATTTTGAATCAAAGCTCTGAAACGTCACAATAACATTTCATGTTTCCTTGCTTCAACCCTTGCTTCTCCTGCTTTTCAGGTTTTTATATGTACATTGAGACATCTCGACCCAGACTAGAAGGCGAAAAGGCTCGACTTCTCAGCCCTGTCTTCAGCATAGCTCCCAAAAATCCATATGGACCTACAAATAGTGCATATTGTTTCAGTTTCTTCTATCACATGTATGGGCAACATATAGGTAAGGTAACAGACAGTTCTATTTTCTTTTTACCAGTCCTAATAAATAACGAAAGTATCACACAGAGCAGGAAGACAACTTTAGTCAGCGAATACTATAATTGAGGTTTTTGGGGGGTTGTTTGTTTTTATTAATCATTCCATTCATTTACATCTCAAATATCTCCCACTTCCCTTATCCTCCCTCTCCCTCCTCCCCTTTGCCTCTATGAATGTGCTCTCCCATCCACCCACCGTCTCCAGCCCCACTGCTCCAGCATCCCCCCTTTGTTGGGGCATCAAACTTCCACAGGACAAAGAGCCTCTACTCCCATTAGTATCAGACAAGGCCATCCTCTGCTACATATGTATCTGGAGCTGTGGATCCCTCCCTGTACACTCCTTGGTTGGTGTCTAGTCCCTGGGAGTGCTGGATGGACCAGCCAGCCTACGTTGGTCTCCCTATGGGGTTGCTATACCCCTCGGCTCATCCAGTCCTTCTGCCAGCTCCCCCACTGTGGTCTTTGAGCTCAGTTTGATGGTTGGCTCCAAGCATCCATATCAGCATTGGTCAGTTAATGGCAGGACCTCCCAAAAAACACAGCCACACCAGGTTTCTGTCAGCAAGCACCTCTTGGCAATAGCAACAGTGTCAGGGTTTGGTGTCTGCAGACTGGATGGATCCCCAGGTGGAGCAGTCCCTGGAGACTTTGTTCAGTCTCTGCTCCATTTTTTGTCCCTGTCTTTTCTTTGGACAGAAACATTTGAGGGTTAAAAACTTTGAGATGGGTGGGTGGCCCCATCTCTTGACCAGGGGCCATGCCTATCTATTGGAGGTGGTCTCTACAGATTCTCTCTCTCCTTTGCTGTGCGTTTTGTTTAAAGTCATTCTGGTTGGGTCGTGGGAGCCTCTCACTTCCCTGGCATCTGGGACCTTCCAGTGAGTTTTATTAAATTACTTGCCTACAAGTTGCAAGGCGAGACACCACAGAGGTCTTCCCATCACCCAGTTCCAGAGCTCATAAAAGAGTTTGGAGACTCTGAGCATCATCTCTTCTTTGCATCCTGAGTCAGCAGACCATCAGTAGAATATACTCTGAAGGTAATCTTCTATGACACTGGCATGCCATAATCTAGGTTTTCTTTTCTAAAAACATGACTGAATAATGACAATGCACATTAATGATTAATGATTATAAAATGGAAAATTGTCACATTAACAAGTTCTTTTAGCATTCTTCACATACTAGTAAGGGTGTTATGATTATTTTTATATGGATATCATATGTTAAGTACAATTTAAGAACGTCCTGGGCCTTGAAGGGAATACAGAACCGAAGGCATCTACCTTTGCATATTTTGCCCAGTAGTAATGAAAAGTTACCATGAAACATCTTTCAACTCTGCTAAGAAGAGTACCATGTAGCAACAGATGAACTTCACATTCCTCAGTGGTAGCAAAGATGGTTCAAGTTTCCAGGTTTTCAAATGCAGCTGAAGTCCAGAGACCTGAACACCAAATTTATAAAAAAGAAAATTAGCCATTATACAGTACAGTCAGTATGAAAGACTGATCTGCATATGTTGAAAGTATTTAACCTGAAATGATATGAACCTATAGTTATTATGCAAAAACACTAAAAATATAACTGCAGCCTAGCTATTATTGTATTAAATTGTGGCCCTGTGTTTAAAATCATTGCTGTGATTTTCATATGCTATACTATAGGTACACATGTACCACCTCCCTAAGTTACAACAGAACCCTGAGTATTAGAGCATGTCTAGCCCCACAGAGTTTGGTCAAGGAATTAAATATGTATAAAGGTTGGAATTGAAGTGATGCTTCTAAACAAAGGAAGCCCTTCATTTTAATAGTCAGTAGTCATATAGAATTAACACACTGCTCAAAAGTGTAAAGTTAGGGTGACCCTGGTGTCTTGATATATAATAATAAAAACAAGGTAAATATGCACTGACTTCCAAAGTTATCCACATAGCATACATACCAACTATCATATTGTTTAACTACTATCCTCACTGTAAAAGTCAATATCGTGGTCTGTTGTTTATAATGAAGAAAATTGAACCTCAGGATGGATGTTGATGTAGATGGATTTGTTACATTATGCCCTTACTCTCATGTCTGAACTATACCAGTATTCTTTACAGTAGAGCAGCAAATGACAAGACAGGATAGATAGCAAATAAACTGAAAGTGCCCCAATCTGAAACACAGCAGACACAGGGGAAACCATGGTGAAAGTGTAGCCTTCACAGAAATCACTTTGAATAACTGTTTTTAGCTCCCTCCTATGCAAAATGGGAACAATAATTTCTCTTTTAGAAAGCTCTGGTTTGGATTTATAAGATCATAACCACCACCTTCTCTCAGGTAACAGACAGCAATCTCATGTTCATTCAATATTCAAATAGCCCTGGAAGAGGGCATTTTGTGGTTATTTCCTTTAATTTGCACAATGATCACTTAGCCTCATTTAGATAATTATCCTTTTTCTCAGACAAAGACACTGAAATACAAAGAGTTTTGATTATCATGTCCAATACACAGCTTATAAATAGCAAAGTCATAATTCAACCTGGGAAGCTGGACTCAGTCGTGGCTCTGCAAGAGGACTTACTGGGGGGTCATGAAAATCAGGCTATAAGTATGTGACAGTCACTTAGTATTCACAGTGAGTTATCACAGACTGACTCTATAGGTGAAAGCATGAGATTTTGGACTACGGAAATAAATATGGAAACACACACATACACACACACACAGACACATACATATATCTATATCAATATCTAATCTATATCTATATGTATATATATATATATATATATATATATATATATATGCACCTCATACATGAGATCAGCACTTTTAGCACATCATTTAAAACGGTCCATGTATTTATGAGATGCAAAATAATTCTGAGAATATCTAACTTCCCCTTCCTTTCCCTCATTCCTCTTGGCAAATGTCCAACAGTGTGTCTGTTGCTCTTATTCCGACAGTATATGGCACTGAGTTCTCCTTCTGAGTAAATATGTATTATGTTGAGCCTGTTGGTGTAATTTCTCAGTTTCTGCAGATGGTCAGAAGTAACAGATTAGGTTCCAAGTCTATTATTTGTGTCAGGAAAGCAGAGAACAGGCACAAAAAATTGCTAAAAAAAAAATTTAAGCAAATATACTTGTCCCATAACGTGTAGTAAAGTAAACCCAAAGAGAATATAGGCATGTTTTGTTTTATTATACTCTCTTATTACATCTCACAGATACTGCATTATTTAGAAATGGAATTTTGGGCAACTCCGAATGTAGCAAGTTTATGTCGATGTAAACACACTGTTTCTCACTTCAAAGAGGAGAGATGGTTTATTCTGGAAGCACGTATGAGTGATCGATTATGTCCCAGGAACACAGATTTAGATTTTCCCATATTTAGTACCTTTATAGCAACAGAACAAACTAAGATACTTTTTCACATACATTATGCCTTTGTAGAGTTTTATTGCTATCATGTGACTATGATCATGTGACTAAGGCAACTCTTATAAAGGAAGACTTTTAATTGGAGCTGGCTTAAAGTTTCAGAGGTTTAGTCCATTATAATCATGTCAGGAAGCATGGCAGCACACAGGCCAACATTGCGCTAGGGATAGAGCCAAGAGTTTTACATCTTGATCTACAGCCAGTATGGAGAGACTGTTTTCCACACTGGGCGGAGCCTGAGCATAGGAGACCTCAAAGCCCACCCTCACAGTGACATACTTCCTCCAGCAAGGCCATTCGTACCCCAACAAGGACACATCTACTAATCATGTCACTCCCCATGGACCACGTGTTCAAACAACATGGGTCTATGGGGGCTATACCTATTCAAACTACCATACACTGGTAGAAATATTGGCTGGTGGGCTATAGCAAAGCAGGGGAGTCTAGCTGTAACTCTCATATGCCATCTGACTGCACTCTTAGCCCTTTTGGTTGTAAACTGGGTTTCTGTTCCTACATTCTATGAGATTTATATAATGGTTGTAAAGGTCATGTACAGAGGAAGGCAATAAATGGCTATAAAATCTAGTGCTAAAGATACCCAAGATAATTTAGCTGTGGACTTGTAGTATTCCAAATTCTCCACATCTTTGAAATTACAGACAGTTAATCACCTTTGCAAAGGGCTCAGTGGACGGTGTGTTTTCACCTTTTCAGGAACTTCCTGTATGCTTGTGGGTTCCAGTGTCCTAACAGCAGGGATTCCCTCAGTCCTTTTGCTTGTATTGTGTTTTGCTGATGTCAAATTATACGAATCTTTTTATCTTTCTTCTTTTTTTTTTCTTTTTTAACTTTCACTGTATTTGTTTTAGTGATCCTTGGTCTGTTGCCTTTGGTGGAAATGCAGTAACTGTTTGAAATCACCACAAACCCAGTCATGCCCCAAAGGTTACCTGGTCTGATTGTTACCTTCTCCATATCTCTCTCTCCTTGGGCCTCCTTAGGCCATGAGCCTCAACCTCACTAAAATGAGGCCAATCAATATCCCTAAAGTGAAAGGTTCACATGTGTCTTGCTTTTCATTAGAATGAGAAATGATAGGGCTCAGAGAAGAAGGTCTGAGAGGAGCTTAGGTTGGTTACCTGCTAAGCTCGTTGAAGCAAATCATTAGCAAGTTGTCAGTCCAGAGGAAAAGCACCTGGGCACATTAAAAGTGTTGTTTCATGAGCACAGAAATGGAACCAAGCCAGTCTTGGGGCTGATGCAAGGAAACATTCAGTGGCCTGTCAGGTCAAATCAGCTACAGCATCCAGCATCCATTAGGTCAAAGACTAAAGTAAAAGACTTTAACTCTTTACAATGTTACAGTGGTTACTAATGTGTAAGAAACTTAAAGGAAAGAAAGAAAGAAAAAGAAAGAAAGAGAAGAAAGAAAGAAAGAAAGAAAGAAAGAAAGAAAGAAAGAAAGAAAGAAAGGAAGGAAGGAAGGAAGGAAGGAAGGAAGGAAGGAAG